TTTAATATTACCTCTTCATTTATGTGTAGGAGTTCGGGTTGTATAGATATACGGTAGGGGATGGACGATCGGGGTTCGATTCCGGGCAGGAATAAGGAATTTTCTCTCCTCTACAACGTCAAAACCGGACTTGATACCAAACCAGCCTCCTATCCAATGAGTGCAGAGAGCTCTTTCCTCGGGAGTAAAGCGGCTAGGGTGTGAAGCTCACCTGTCACTCCACTTAGTACCGAAGATAAGAAAGGTGGAATTATACATCCACTCCCAATACATCTTCGTGATGTGGTACTTAATTAATTAAGCACAGGGACAACTTTACCTTGTTTTGTGATCTCAGTACGGGTTTCCCAAGCCGCGTAGTCGTTTCAGGGTTTCAGGCCGAAATGCTGTATACATTTCTCATCCCCCACCGTGCGCCCTCAAGCAGCCCCCATTTTATTACCACAGTGAAATACCTATAGTGTGAAGGGCGAAATTACCAAGCCTCTTATTACGAAATTTTTCCGGCCCCTTGTTAATTCCTGCTTTATGTACATGTTACCTCCGCAGCGCCCTGCTTCCGAATGCGCGCGCACGCACTCACATGGTCACATCTCAGAAATCCAAAATTTTTCATTTATTTTGTTTTGAATCTATAGCTTCGTGCCCACGTTCCTTTGTTGTATGGGGTAAAGTGTCCTAAATATTTAAATTATGATGCTTCTTCTATAACTTTCATTCATTCCTTCGTTCATCAATGGTTCTACAGCCCTTTGTTGTGCCTTGGACTCTTTCTCAGTTTCGTGATCCTATACAGAGTCAGTATAACTCCTTGTTTGGGGGATCAGCATATCGCAAGGTCGCTACCTACACACAGAACAACACAGACACAGAATAAATGCCCACAGGCATCCATGTCTCGAGTGGATTCGAACCCGCGGCTCCAGTGTTCGAGTGAGTGAAGACAGTTCATACCTTAGACCGCGCAGCCACTGTGATCGATCGAACCTTCATTCCAGACACAATTTTCAATCTTTGAATCGTGTTCTGCATATTCCCATAATCCCACACATAGATTCTGTCGTGGATATGTTTTTTAGCTGAGGAGCCGGGATAGCGCAGACGGTATAGCGACTGGCTATGAGGTAGACGGCCGAGGTGTCGGAGTTCGAGACTCGGTAAAGGCAGGGGTTTCCCCTTCTTCATGTCTCCAGACCGTCTCTGGAGCCCACCCAATCTCCTATCCAGTGGGTACCGGTGACTCTTTCCCCGGGGTAAAGCGGCAAGGGCGTGAAGCTGACCACTCATCTCCAACTAGTGCCAATGTCAAGAATACCTGGATCTACACCTTCACTCCCTCATGCGCCTTTATGGGATATTCCTTAATTAGTTAAGCACAGGGCAAGTTTACCTTTACGTATTTAGTCTTCGGATATAATATTCGAACACAACTTGTTGTGCAATTGCATAATTAAATACAAACATAATTCAGAAAGGAATTGTCGGTGCGATAAATCTCGTTCGTAGCACACAAAGAATTAAACGGATCAAATAACTAACTGTTGAATACAATTTAAAAGCAAGCGATGTTCGTGTAACGGTGCCGCGCAAGTTCCTGCCAAGGCCGTGAGAGGGCAGGAGCATCTGTTTATCCCTAACGTTACTACAGAGATGAGAAACATCATCATTCATCCTACAATCAGCACAGTAGCAGGGTAATGACAAACGCAGGAGCGAACCCTTTCACGCCAAAACACACGGCTTTTCAGCCCCCCCACCCACCTACTTGGCAGCTGTCCCGGCCCGGCGATGCGCAGTCACTTGTTCACGAGCAGAATGGCTTGCGTGTTTCTCATATTAGCGCTACGCCGCAAGAACGTCTGGGTGGAACATGTACTCGTATTTACACGCCTCAGTCGCCCCACACAGATTAACAAGTATCGTACCCTTTTCATTCTACAAGTTCGTGATCTATTTCGAAGCATCGGAACAACATTTTTATTAAACATCGGGAGGGCTTCTTCAGGAAGAAAATTTTGATGTTAGTATTTGGACGGGGGGGGGGCAGGCTGTATGTAAAGCATGGTGTGCCACGTGGAATTTGGGTACCAAATGAAAATCACATTTAAAAATTCAGTTCCTACCTCACAGAAAAATAATATTTGTAATAAAAGAACAGCCGTTCAGCGTTGCTTAGAGAAATATTTTTTTGTTAATTCTACAAATCATACGAAATCCAAACATTAAATTTTTGAACAAACGCACAGTTTCGAATGCTAAAAGAAGTGACACACAAAGTAACCTTTGTGCCTTAAAGGGTTAACTAAAGCCATGGAGAAATGACCCCTCTAGTAAATTTAAGAGCCATTCATGTGGTAAAGAAATGAGAGTGCTCACAAGAGACTGCCACTGGTCCCTATCCTGAGTCACTTGGCTAGAGACCCGTCCCTCACACACTATTCTCTTAAGGCCCATTTTAATATTATACTCCCAACTATGCCTATGTCCCTCAAGTAGTCTTTTCCCTTTGGAATTTCTGACTAAAAGTTTGATGCCTTACTTTTCTCCCACATGTAGGCCTGTGCTGCATGTCCCGCCCATCCCGCCCTTCCTGTTGTTAAGGAATGCGAACTATGAAGCTTTACTTTACACAGTTCTCTTCGTCCTTCTCTTATTCCGTCTCTCTTATGCTCGAAAGATCTCCTCATCAAATTTTCCGAAACATCCTCAACTACGAAGACTACTTCTTTCTTGGCTGTAAGGCCGTATGATCTAGTAGAGAGTTACTATTCCTAATGAAATTACCGCCTTCGTCTTCAGTGTAGAAGATCAACGTTGGTAACTAACTACCAGGCTACTCGGCGTCATATTTCAGAAGTCTATAATGTGCACAGTCGCAGCCGTGATAGTCCCAAATCTCACACCATACATCTACGAGTTCGTTCTTCCCTCAAAATAAGACATCAAAATTAGGAGCTTACTCTTCTGTACACGGCTCCCTTCGCTTTCTCTTTAACGGTGTTGCTACCCCGTGCGGGCCTTGGACTCCTCCATGGTTTCGTTAGCACAAAATTTTTCTGACGTAGAGTCGTTAGCCCAACGTCCAACCACAAGCCTGGAGGACCAGGGACTACACTTCGTTTGGCCCTTAACTTTTGACATGAGCGGCTCTATCAGGAGCTTACTCTCCCGCCAGCATATCTCTCCTTATCACTGAGGCGAGCAAACCTCCTCTGCACGATAAGGGCAGTCCTCAGTGCGGTATAAACCACCTATCGCGTGAAAACTTCCAGACATGGCTTCAAATCTCCGTACATTTGCCGTGGTTGTAGTTAGTAAAGAAAAAATCTTACCTTTAAGGGATATTCTGTACATACCTGCATGACAGAAACCAGAATACATTCCTGGTGTGGGGGGACTACCTTTCTAAGGTACCAGGAGGCGGGGTCAGCTAGAATATTTGGTTGCATAGTTACGTTTAAGCTGTTCATTATTCTGATCTATTGGCTTCCACTGCTTCTTTCTGTATTCCTCTCCATTCCTACATGTTATCGAGGCAGACGTTTAGCTCCATCTCTCAGAACTAACAAGCAAAAATAATCAATCGTAAACCGTCTCCTTCGTATAGTATGCTACACTTCACACATTCTCCGCAAGGTTCAGTTCTCACAGATTAGACACGATAAACTGAAATGAAGACTGAGCTCTCGTTACTTACATTCATTCAACATGTTCAAGTTCGATATCTCGTTGCTATAATAACAGAAGACTGCAGGTCGTGGATTTCGTTCCCGAAGAGGTCACTGGATTTTTGCAATATGCCTAATCCTTCCAGCAGCACTATGGCCTTGGGATCGACTAAGCCTCTAACAGAAATGAGCACTAGGAATCTTCCTGGGGGTAAAGGCCGGCCAGGGCGTAAGGCTGACGACCTAACCGCTATCTGTGAGCCGATTGTCTAGAGAAAATGTAAGAGCCTCGACGTCTCACAACCCTATGGGCCTCCACGGACTGCTACAGGGATCGCTTTACATCTCTTGCCTTAGGCCTAATACTTGTTACTGATATTTTGCATAATTTCTACTCTTCAATTTGGAATCTGCTTCTTTAAAAACCGAGGGGTGGAAGTAGATACTTCAATGTCTCCCCTGTCCTCCGGGAGGGACTTTAAGCCGTGTGTCCCGTGTCGTAGCTTTACGGCACGTAAAAGAACCTCATATCTCCAAAGGAGGTCACTGAGCCAAATTCAAGGACGTTTCCCGCCCAACAGTAGTCTCTAAAGCCTCTGATAGGTGGGGGAAGCATTATATACACCACCAAGCCAGTGGAGGCCGAACTCGCTGGCTCGGCGGGACTGATGGTACGCACCAATATCGGTAGGGTATAGAGACTGGTAGAATATCATAGAGGGAATCACAATGGACCAATGCTGGTCTAAGTGCATGGGGAAACCCACGCTCTCCAATAACTAACTAACTAAGCACAAGGAAAATTTACCTTGTAAGAGTTAAAAAAATGTAAAGCTATCCCTGTAACAGGCCGTGGAGGCTCATAGGGTATTGAGATGTTGAGGCTCCCACATATTCTAGACAATCTGCTCATAGATGGCGGTAAGGTTGTCAGCCCTAAGCGCCGGCCACGCTTTACCCCCAAGAATATTCCAAGAATATTTCTGGTACTCATTTCTGTTAGAAGCTGAGTCGACCCCAGGATCATAGTGCGGATGGAAAGATTAGGTAAATTAAAAAAATCGATTCGATCCCGCGACCTTCCGGCTTGTAGCACAGTGCCTCAACCAACTACGCTACCGCGTGCCCTTGTAACAGCTACTGAAGTCAAGTGATAGAATATCTGGTAGTAAGGGACACGAATAGAGGACATCAGTGATTTCTTTATCACAGTTAAGCAGAGTTAATGACAGAAACTGCAGAATACTCGTACTTACTCATAAAAGCTCCCATGAGAATATAAGGCCCTTGAATCAATTCGACAGTTCGCGAGTTGTGCCCTTTTTGCCCTAAATGGTGCCTGTAATTGCCGTGCTGATTGAACAAGTCGAGTTGTTAGGTCTGCAAGGAAGAGCAGGGGGAGGGGGCGTGGAAGCCCCCCAGGTGCGAAGTGCGTGCGCTGCTAGGCCGTACCAGAACCAGCGTGACGTCACCATCTTAAGTGAAGAAAGTTCAGTGCGACAGAGATGGAGCACAAAGGTGGCGAATGGTTAGGGCGGGAAGACATTACATAATGAGGAACATCATAATCTGTGCCTATAATGTAATATTGTTATGGTGATTGTGTAAAGGATGAAATGGGCCAAACAAGTAGCACGCAATGGGCAGTAATAAATGTGCAGACCAACAGATTTTGTTGGAAAACGTGATGGAATGAAAGTCCCTAGGAGGCAAGTGTAAACGGCAAGATAATATTGTGGCTGGGCAACAACAACCGTTACTGAGTAACAGCTTCGGAAATAAGCATGTTTGAAAGGTAGCAATTCAAAACAGCAAAAGATGTACGGTGTTTTCTTTGCGGTCCGTGCCGAAATGTTACAAAGTTAGTTAGTTGAGTGTTGGACGGTCTGAATGACCGCAGAGCCGTCAGACAGTGAAACACGACCATGAGTCCCATGGGACTCGGAACCAAAAGTCACTGTGCTGGCGAGCCCCAGTATCAATTTAGCTGTCAGTCAGTTAGTTGAGAGTCAACAGTTGTGACAGTCGCCATCCGGTAAGAACGTGAGCACGGAAGCAGAGGATATTGTTGAGATCCGTCACCAGGCAACGACTTGTGAAGATATAGCAGACTGAGAAGACTTTATGTGTATTGTAGTCACAGTGATAATTGGAGTGTGTAACCCAGTGAGGCTGTCGTAGTTATTTGTAATTATGTTCTCTAAGTGTTCAATAAATCCATTTACCAATCCAAACCCCGTCTATGGTCTCACTGAAACACATGACAATACATATCTTGTGCTCCGTTAAGTTCTACATGGCCTACCCATCCCATTTAGCCATCCTACAAATTTGTTGCCGATATCTGAAGCAGATGACGTGCCGTAGGGCTCCCCTGCCTCTGACTAATCGCCATAACTCATTCCCTTGTTAAACGGCTGAAACACTCTAAACGATCCATCTGCTGGCTCCTTTCCCCGCTCGTGGATGCAGGTGCAAAATTCGCGGCCCGGTTCCCTTATAGAAACACCCGCCACTACGGTAATGCCTTTAATACATGCACGGGTTCTAGTTTCCTACATTCAAAAATGAATCATTTACTCACCTCTCATACAGCCGAACCTTTCTTGATGGGCCGCCAATTCTGCAGCTACTCAAAAATTTCCCAGCATTTTATGGAACCAGAAGGTTCATCACCGTGTTCACAAGAGTCCTCCTCTGGTCCCTATCCTGAGCCAGAACAATCCAGTCCATACCATCCAATCCTATCTCTCCAAGATCCATTTTAACATTATCCACCCACCTACGTCTTGTACTTCCTAGCGGTCTCTTTCCTCCTGGCTTTCCCACCAATATCTCACATCCGTTCCTCTTCTCCCCGTTCGTGCTACATGGCCTGTCCATCTTAACTTGATCATTCTAATTAAACTTGGAGAAGAGTACAAGTTATGAAGCTCCTAATTATGCAGTTTTCTCCAACCTCCTGTCACTTCGTCTCTCTTCGTTCCAAATATTCTCCTCAACACCCTGTTCTCAAACACCCTCAGTCTATGTTCCTTCCTTAATGTCAGAGACCAAGTTTCATACCCATACAGAACCACAAGCAAAATTATAGTTTTGTATATTCTAATCGTTATATTTTTGGACAGCAGGCGAGAAGACAAAAGGTTCTGGACTGAATGGTAGCAAGCATTACCCGAGTTCAATCGCCTCTTAATTTCCTCCTGAATCAGGTTTCGATCTGTTATCGTCGTTCCCAAATATCTGAACTGTGCCACATTTTCAAAACATCTGTTTACTGCCTTAAGACCTGATATTGCAATGCATTTTGGTGACGAGACAGCAACATACACGTATACTTCGGCCTCCGTAGTCTAGGGGTAAAGTTCTCACCTCATGACTCAAGGTATGCGGGTTCAAACCCGGCGGAGGTCGTGGAATTTTTAAGGGCGGAAAAATTCAGGGAACAAGTCGTCCGGGAAGGACTTTAAGCCGTGTGTCCCGTGTCGTAGATTTACGGCACGTAAAAGAACCTCTTGTCTCTAGGAGACCTCTGAGCTAAATTACAGGCCCTTTCCCGCCAAAGTAGTCTCCAATGCCTCTGATGGATGGGGGAAGCATCCAGGTACCGAGGGCCGTTGACTCTACGGAGACTGATGGCACGCATCGTTACCGGTAGGGTAGAAATTAAAGGGGGACGCACAATGGACCAATAACTGGTCTAAGTGCATGGGGAAACCCACCCCCTCTCATAATACGAATACGAATACGATTACACCTATACTTAGTTTTCTCTGTGTTTACTTCTAGAGTCTAGAAGTAAACACAGAGAATCTAGACCAAACTCCTTACGTGCGTCAATTAAAATTTGTGTGTTTTCCTTTATGGCATCTACATTATCACCCAGTAGATTCACATCAATGAATGATATCTTCAGTAAAATTCAATCTTTCAATAAAGGCTTATTATGGCTATGGGCTGGATTACCGCAGGGCCAGTGTTCAATTCCTTGCAGGCGCAAGGTCTTCTTCCATCCTCCATAGCCTGCAGCTTGGCTCTGGGCCTCACAGTCCCGTTATGCATTTCCTACCAACAGCTGAAACACGAAGACAACCACACACCTACAGCCAAGGTTAAGAATCTTCGGATTTATACCTCCATTCCTGCATACATCATTGTGTCGCAGTTCCCGTTTAAGCAGAGGAATAACATTACGTTTAGTCAGACTTTTAGTCAATAGTGTAGGAAGTTCTCCTTCAAGCCATAAGTTCATAGGGCTTCATAAATGCACTGTCTGCTCAGTCGACACTTTGTTATTGCAGCTCCCTGCTGAGACACTGCCGAGTATTCACCATCGCCTCAACAAAAGCCAGTGAGTGAACTTAGCTGCCAATCCACGTTGTAAGGGTTGGCCTACAACAAGGAAGCCTACCCAACTTAGCGACACATGGCTACGTCTACCTTATTTCTAAACGTGCCGAGGCATTAGCCTTAACAGCTTCTCACATATGGCTCCATGACTGGGGGCGTTTCCCACAGCTGTAACGGCTCCATAACAATATATGTTTTTCTCAGCTTTCCATAGACAGCTACATAATTATGTATGTGCCCCATAGCTTCCATAGAAGCTATATTATGTTTTCCACAGCTTTAACATCTTTTCATAGACGGTTCCGTAATTATATTGTGGTATGTAGACCCGTTGCTAGGCAACGACAGCGAAATAATCAGCTATACAACGGATGTTGTTAGGCAGAGGTCGGTAAACAGCAACAGAGAAATGATGTTTTCTGTGCAGTCCGTGCCGAGATGTAAGCAGGACAAGCTAGGAGTCAGCCAGTCACTGGAGTGAGTTGGTTGGTGAGTTAGTGAGTTAGTTAGAGGACAGCTGCTGTTCAGTCCTTGTGAGGTGTTGCTTTTAGAAGCTGATAGCTGAGGATGCGGATAGTTCGGGAACACAGAGGAAGGGGAAGGTCCACCGTTAGAAGCCGCTACCAAGCAACGGCTAGTGAAGACTGTATCGTACTGAGAAGACCTAGTGTGTCCTATAGTGACCTGAGAAGTGTAGTAAGGAATTGTATAAGAGTTCAATAAACCCGATTACCAATCCAAAACCCGTCTATAGTCACTCTATGACGCGACTCTATGTTCTCCACAAATTACATAGACAGTTACATAATTACGTATACTTCCCACAGCTTTCATAGAAACCTCCATATCTTCTATGTTTTCCACAGTTTTAACAGCTTTCCATAGACGACTCCATAATCATACGTTCCCCATAATTTTATAGGCGGTTTCAAAATTATGTATCTGTTCCACAGGTTTAAAGTCTTTTCATATTCATTCATTCATTCATTCATTCATCAATGGCTCTGCAGCTCTTTGTTGGGCCTGGCCTCTTTAGTTTCGTCATCTTTTTGCACAGACGGTAGGACTCCTTGGACGGGGGATCAGCCCGTCGCAAGGCCGCTATCTACACACAGAACAACACAAATACAGAAGAAACGCACACACAGATATCTATACCTCGAGCGGGATTCGAACCCAGAACCCCAGAGTTCGAGCGAGGGAAGACAGTTCATGCCTAAGACCGCGCGACCACAGTGATCGGCATATTTTCGTGTACAGTTCCCTTTCAAAGCTGGTCATATACTTCTGTGGCGACCGGACACTGCAGTATGAATGAAGTAAAGTAGCTTCACTGTACGGGCAAGGTATACCGTATTTACGCATGTATAGGCCGCAGCACAATTTTCAGACAGAAATTATAGAAAAAATAATTTTCTTTGAATATTATTTCAGGAGTATTACTAATTATGAATATAATTTTTTTTAAATGAAGTGTGATTTCGAATATTTCGAATATAAGCCGCACCCCAGTTTTCCTCTTGAATTTTTGGCAAAAATGTGCGGCCTATACATGCGTAAATACGGCAATTTCGCAAACACACAGGATAGAGCAGAAGAAACAGTAACGCGTCGACTTGTGTTCGGGAGATGTCCGGCCTCGAATCTCGGGCGGGACACTGACCCTTATGACTTTCCTTACACCGCCCGTCAGATTTCGGTCTAGCAACTTCGTTTAGGTCACGACCTCTTCCTTACGTTTGCTTTCAATTTTATCCTAGTGTTCCACTCTCCGGGAGCGGGGATGACTCAGCCGGTATAGCGACTGGTTACAGGCTGGTCTACCGAGGTGTCGGAGTCCAAGTCCCGGCAGGGTCAAGAATTTTCTCTTCTCCACGTCGTCCAGACCTGCTCTGGAGCCACCCAACCTCCTATCAAATGGGTATCGGGGGTTCTTTCCCCGGGGGTAAAGCAGCCGGGTTGTGAAGCTGACCACTTACTTCCATCTAGTGCCGAGGTCAAGAAATGTGGAGCTACATATCCATTCCTCCATACGTCTTTATGGCGTAGTGCTTAAGGAACAACTTTACTTT